CTACTTGTAGAACGTGCAAGCTTAGAGAATGCCATTTTGAAGACTTTGAAAGCTCAAAGGCAATGAAAATACTGAGAGAATACACACACACACACACACACACACACACACACACACACACGGAAGTAATGGCTCCAGGAGTTTTTGATGAAGTGAAATAGTTCAAATTTAGGTACACATAACTGTCTGCAAATGCTTAGGTGGTTATGACACATTCATCTGAACTTGTATTACAGGGTATTTAATAGTCTGTGTGGTAACTGACTTGCCTCGTTGCTTTGCTATCTTGCCTCTCTGCTTATTTAACAGGGACTGTACGCTTCTATATTGCTTTAAGATTCTGTCTGGACTATTAAGTATTTAAAGATACTCTTTAAAAGCCCTTTTAAGACTCTAGGGTCTAAATGCAATAAATTGAGCTTCTTAGAAGGTCATGCTGAATAAACATTTCATGTCAATACCAATCATTAAATCTACATTTAAAAAGGGCATTTCATGAGGAGAGCTATTCTCTCATTTTTCTTTTGTTATTTGTTCTCTTTCGGCTACTTTGATTAGGCTTGAAACCCCCACTACAGCGTTTACATTTTGTTTTGCCATTTTGCTGGCAAATCTTTTCTGGTTTCAAATCTTCTCTCTGGTCCCATATTTTCATTTGGCTCAGGACATAGCTTAGACCCACCACTGCCAGCTAAAACGGAACAAGTAAATCCAAGTCCATACCCACTCAGTCACTGTTGAGGGCAGCGCCATTCCCCAGCTCTCCAGATTGCAACCCTAGAGTCATTTTATACTTTCTCCTTTGCCTTCCTCCTCATTTATCAAATATTCCATCAGGGTCTTATCATTTTCTTGTTATCTGCAGTAGTGTGATTCACCCCTTCTCCGTCTAGATTCTCATGGCCTATCACATGTTACTACAATAGCTTCCTGGTTGGCCTCCCAGATTCCAATTACTCCCCAACCAGTCAGCACTCCCTTGCCGGGATAAGCTTCCACAAATATCATTTATACCATATGCACCTCTACCTAAAAATTGGTAACGGGATCAAATATGAATTCTTCAGCCTCTTTTTGAAGTCCGTACAGGAATTATTTACCACCCTGTTATCTCAACAACCCGTCCCGCTCCCTTGCTCCCTCCCACCCCACTTCCTTTCCTTTCTATCATCTCTCCACCAGCCCCCTTTCTCTTGTTTCACTTCTGAGGTTTCCACTCAAGCCACACCTTGCTTGCTGTGTCCACTGTGTGACTTGCTATTTCCAGAGCTCTGGTCCTTTGCAAATGCCTTTCCCTCCAGTTGGCAATACCTTCTGCCCATATGGCTGTTTATACCCTGCAGTATCTACTTCTAAAAACATGACTTAACAATTCTTTGGGGATGCTTTCCATGATTACATCGGACTGCTCACTCCACACATTCAGTATCTCCTAACCACGTATATTCCATTTGTGTTTCCAGTTGCTACTCTGTGCGTGTGTTTTTTAGGCTCTTTTCTATATTGATTTCCTGTCACCTTCAAACAGGTTGTAAATGTCTTGAGGGCAAGGGTCCGGCCCTGATTTCTCTTCTCCTTCTGCCTTAGTATCAGGTTTTCCACCCAAGAAGTGTTCAGTGTATGTTAACTGACTTTTGGGCATTATTATTTTCTTTAAAAAAAATTTTATTGATGTATAGTTGATTTACAATGTTGTGTTAATTTCTGCTGTGCAGTAAAGCAGTTCAGTTATATATATATATATATATATATATATATATATATTCTTTTTCATACTCCTTTCCATTATGGTTTATCACAGAATATTGAATATGGTTCCCTGTGCTATACAGTAGGATCTTGTTGTTTATCCATCCTGTGTATACTGTTTTGCATCTGCTAATCCCAAACTCCCAGTCTTTCCCTCCCCCACCTCACCTCCCTCTTGGCAACCACAAGTCTGTTCTCTGTGTCTGTGAGTCTGTTTCTGTTTCGTGTTGTATTTTAGGTTCCACATATAAGTGATATCATATGGTATTTGTCTAGACTTCTCTGTCTGACTTACTTCACTTAGTATGATAATCTCTAGGTCCATCCATGTTGCTGCAAATTTCCTTCTTTTTTATGGCTGAGTAATATTTCATTGTGTATATGTACCACATCTTCTTTATCCATTCATCTGTTGATGGACATTTAGTTTGTTTCCATGTCTTGGCTATTGTAAATAGTCCTGCTGTGAACATTGGGGTGCATGTGTCTTTTCGAATTATAGTTTTGTCTGGGTATATACCCAGAAGTGGGATTGCTGGATCATATGGCAACTCTGTTTTTAGCTTTTTGAGGAACCTCCATAGTGGCTACACCAATTTACATTCCCCATCAACAGTGTAAGAGGGTTCCCTTGTCTCCACACCCTCTCCAACATTTAGTATTTGTGGACTTTTTAATGATGGCCATTATGACTTGGGCTTTATTTCTTGACATAAACAAAGGTGAAAGCATCTTCACTCTTACAAAGTTAGTCAGGGTTTCCAGATAGTCTGAGCGTAATCTTTGTCTACCATCTTTACTCAGACATGGAATAACCAGGAGGAGGCAAGTATGCTATTGGCTAAGTACTTAATTCTGTATTTTTTACTGAAGTTCAACTCAGTGCATATACTGAGCACCTGATGTGTACCCAGATCACTGACCCCCCCTCACCCCAGAGTTTCTGACTTACTAGGCATGGGGTGGGGTCCAAAATTTTGCATTTCTAACAAGTTCCCAATTTATGCTGATGCTGCTGGTCCGGAGACCACACTTTGAGAACCAGTGGTGTAGGTGACACAGAGGGAGGTCTAAGACACGGTCCTTGGTTTCAAGGGATTTAGAGTCTCTTTAGGGAGACAAGGCAGGCTCAAGAAACATTTAACAGAAGAAAATATTGTAAACTGTTTAAGTATTCATTCATTCAAGAAATTTTGAATAAGTACTAACTATGCGCCCAACACTGTTCTAGGTGCTGCGGGTTACATCAGTGAACATGATAGACAAAAATCCTCGTTCTCATAGGAGAATTCTAGTGGGAGAAAGCAGACAACAACTAAAATATATAAACTGTAAGATACTGTTGAGTCCTAAGATCAAAAAGCAAAGAGGGGGGATAAGAAGTATCAGAGGGGATTTGAAATTTTAGATAGGTGATAAGAGAAGGCCTCCCAATTCTATCATTTGATGAGTATTTATTGAGTGACTATTATGTGTCAGGCACCGTTATAGATCATGGTGATACAGACATTAATAACACAGATAATAAACCCTGCTCTTACAGAATAGACATACTTATTTGGGAGCCAGGAAACCTGAGATTTGGGTTGTAAGCTCTCATCAACTCACTATGTGAGTAAATGGCTCCTTGCTCTCTCTGAGCCTTGGTTTCTCCACCTGTTACATGGAACAGTTGGACAAAATTATGCCTGAAGTCCTGTACATCTCTAAGGCTACAGAATGCTAAGTCCTTTAGGCAATCAGAAATATGTGAGAGAACTTGAGAAAGACTTTGTAGAGGAGGAAAACCTTCATGGTTTTTATAGTCATACAGGAGCTACGGAGTGTGGGAGCTGGGAAAGTAATTTCAGAAGAAAAATAACATGAGCAAAAACATGGAACCAAGAATGGGGGCCACAGTTTCAATGAAGAGTAAAGAGGTCAAAGGGTTCCCATTGTAGAGTAGCTAAGATAGTTGGGTCGGAGGTAGGTGCTCAGTAAAGATGAGGTGGGGGCTGATAATAGAGAGTCTTAGATGGGGACCCACTGAGGGTCTTTTTGATCAGGAAATGATACGATTATATAATCAAAGTGGTGTTTTAGGAAGATGAATGTAGCAATCATAGTTAAATCTTCAAAATTCATGATTTTTTTCCATAAGATGATCTTTGAATCATGGAGGTTAAAGCCATGCTATGTTTTATGTCGCTACCCGATGATAATATTGGTATCAAATTAATCTTGAGGTCTTTTTCCAGCCCTAAACCAGTAACAGTACTTGAACCAGTAACACATTACTAGTTAGAGTTAGGTTTTGAAAGCTTGGGAGATGAATTAGAATAGAAAATTCTTAATGTTTATACATTTTTGTATTCCGTGTTATCCCATGAAATATATGGTTGAATAGATATTGGGTTATCCTCAACCAGGTACACACACACACACACACACACACACACACACACACACACACACACACATACTAGTACTCATTTAGAGTGGTGCAAATATCTCTAAGACCGAGCTCTTCCCATCTGCTTGTTTGGTCATAGATAATACAAGGCAGTATTTTTGGAGATTATCCTCTTATTTTTTATCTTTAATCATCTGAGGAATATCCATATCTGTTGTGAGTTTGCTTTTCTCAAGGCTGAAAGTAAAATCTTCCCCCTAAAAGCAGTTAGTCTGGAAGACAGCAATGATAGGGATTCGCTGTTCAAAAAGTGGGTTGTGGAGACCCAGAGAAAGGTGTCTCAGACAAAAATAGAAGATGTGGGTTATGTAAACACTCTAGCCACAGCAAGTTTTACCTTAACTTTCAGATCAAGTCATAACTTCTCAGAGGCATAATGGTGAATTTAACAAACCATGACAGACCAAATCCTCAAAACTCTCACTTTTGAAGGGTAGTTTAAACACAAGTTGAATATGACCTGTAAAAGACTTAACTATCTTCAGAATAAAATAAGCAAATGTGACAATGATGGCTATATTACAGTGGAAAGTGATTATTTTCCCTTTTTTTCCCCCAAATTCTGTGTAATATTGTTGGATGGTCTGTTTTAGAAAGTGGCAACTTTCTTCGGAGTTGTCTTGAAAAATGAGGCACACCCAGGGAGAAATCTTTCAACATTGCTGTTTGAAGGACAGCCACAACAGCTAAAATGTGTAAAGAACCTTGGGATCATAGAACCCAAAATGTTAACTGGGTCACAGGTTAATATTTTCCCCTTCTATGTATGTATAATTCTTTATTTCTTTTTAATAAACAGGGGATGGAGAATTGTCGTGGGAACAATCTGATGGTGATATCTTCAGGCAGCCTGCCAACAGAGAAGCAGTAAGTGTGAATAGCTCAGATAATTCAATACTTCACAGCATCAGGCCAGACTTCCCTCCCTCCATGGGTACTGTCCCAGCAATGCCATAAAAGGGCCCATCTCTAACACCATTTTTCTTCCCTTTCCTCGGAAGTGTGAATGCCATCATCACCAACCTGGAACCATTTAAGTGCATTGTATAATTGGTAACTGGGGCCAGGACATGAACCTGAAGAAATCATAGCCCAGCCCTTAGGCACCCTTCATCTAGATTAGAAGTTGGTACCCTTTCGGGATGATTTGCCAAATCTTTGTCTTCTGTAAGGAAGGCAAGTCACCACCCCCGGCCTCAACAGTGAGGACCTTCTGTGGGATCGTAAGGTAGGTCAGCTCATCCTTTGGGCACAGGTACCTTGGACATGTCCATAGAAACCTCCCCTAAGCCTTAGGCTCTCAGTCATACAGCTGGAAGAAAGGAAAGGTAGCAGCCGGATTCCCTTTCTCAACCTGCAACATCTTCTCATTTCTCTTCTTGGTGCTAATCTCAGAATAAGCCTCACGAGTGGGCATCTCTTTATGTATAGTAGTAGCGTCTCTTATTACTTTTTATTTTGAAGTAATTAACAAAAGAGAATCCCTCCAAGAGATATATGTCTAAGTAGAGCAACACTTCAAACCTCTAAAAATCAGAAAAGAAGATGTTCCGGTTCAAAGGATCTGTCACATTAAAGGACTTTATATGAGTCCATATGGGATTGTATGAAATCATGAGTGGGAAACTTTTGAACATGGTAAAACACTATAGAATTTAAAGAATCTTTCATCCAATAAAAAGAGTGTACAAAAAGTACAAAATGTACCAAGGCATTCGTTGCAAATAAATGGGTCTTCACCATACCCTCATACAAAAGAAGTATACAGAGCATTCAACGTAGAATTATTTTCATAAAAGCAAGACAAATGGAGACAACCTAAATGCTACCTATAGGGATTTGGTTAAACACACCCAATCTATAGTACACCATACATTTGTTAAAAAGAATGTGGTACGTCAAAACGTAGTAAAGTGGAGGGATCACCAAGATATAGTATGTAAACGAAACAAGGTGCAGGATACAATGTACACTATCATTTCCTTATGTAAAAATTGTGTGTGCACGTGAGTAAATGCATATGAAAAGATCTAGAAGGTCACATACCAATATATTAATTGTGATACTCTCATAGGGGTGCAAGTGGGCAGGAGGAAAGGTAACGTTTGATTTTTAATTTTGTATCTTATGTATTATTTGATATTTTTCAATGAGCATGAATTAGTTTTTTAATAAATCAAAGTTAAATGATTTTTTAAACCTTGGAAATTAGTTCTCAACAAACATTGGATATCAGGGCAAGAGTCTATGGAATTATAGGTCAGGCCCAAGAATCACGAGGGTGTGGAAGAAGGTGTTGATCCAGGACCTAATAAAACGATCAGTACCAACATCACAGTGTGGCTAAGGCCATCACATGTGCCACTTCTGACCTGCGTGCCCCCAGCTTGCCAACACCCTCAGCAAGGAGATGAAAGGATTTGTATTTGTTTTATTGTCTAGTCATACTCTTTTTCTAGACATTCTTGTTTCCAAATGAATGGAGGGGGATTTGTGAATGGAGTGGAGAATAATACTCTGAATATCTCAAAAAAGCAGCACTCCTGCAAGAGAGCGTGGGCTTCCCAGTTTGTGGGTTAACATAGACCCCGAGGAAAGACTTTCTCCATCCAGCAGTGTATCTGCTTTATACTAAGTGAGATTCCTTCCAGATCCTGATGGGAGATGATGTCAGTCTCCCTGTTCTGTGTTGTGAATTTCCTCAGCCCTCATTTTTTTTTTTTTTTTTTTAATCATGGTAGGAAGTCGAGAGTGGCTAAATTACTAGCTGTCAACCAGATGCCATTCTAAGCCAAAGTTAGGTCTCAGTCACCTTAAGCTGGGTGCCTTAGCCCCCAACACTAAGCACTATGGCCCCCTCAGTGGTCTTGCTGGTAATGCCATTAATTAGTCTTTCTTCTTGACTTTGTCTCATGCTGTCCCCACCTCCATCATTGTCTTTCAGCCTCTTTGTTCTTCCTAAACTGCTGGTCATAGGGCTGGACTTAATCTGATACTTCCGGTAGCAAAAGAGGTCAGATATAGAAGGCAGGGCCTTGAAAGAGTCATAGATTTTCAAAGCAGTTCAAGACTTATCTGTAGAAATGAACATTTGCGCCTGGTAGGCCAAAATGTCCAGATGGTTCCACTTTATTATAAATAAATATTTTCCTTTGTTCTACAAGGGATAGATATTGCGGGATATGATTTAAATAATAAATAGCATCTGTAGTAACAGAAAAGTATGTACCTGGCACATAGTTGGCACCCAATAAATATGTGTTGAATGAATGGGCGTGGAAGGTAGAGTGAAATGTATGTGTGTGTGTGTGATGCAAAGGCAGGGGGCAGCGGGGGGGCTCTTCCTTAATGTTAATGCATAGGACTTTGTCCCAAATCAGAGAGAAATTCTTCAAACTTATTAGAAGGTAGGAGAGTCCCTTCTGAATAGCATTTGCAGGCCCAACTTTCCACATGGGAGAAAAAAAACACATTTCTGATTCTGTAGAGTGTCCCTTTTAGTAGACTGTTCCTGTTCCTAGGGAACCATCACAACCTCGGGTCAACAGAAACACAGCTGATTGGTTTATTTTGCCAAGTGGGCTCAAAACCATCATTTTAACCAAGTTCTACGAAGTGCACAAAAAGGAGAACCAGTGGTTTAATGATGACTACTTTGTAAAAACCTGAAATGGTTTCTGTTTGATTTCCAGATCATAACTTCATATGAACTGGTCCCTGTACCATCGGGGGAAGTGTGTGGGGGGGGGGGGGG